GTCAAATCCATGTATGTGGGATTGAGAAGTACCATGAAAAAATGTGGTATTTCCCAATCCCATCTCAATGAGTTTTCCTAGTCCCATATAACAAGTAATTACTCATATTAAATATTATTTTAATGATTTTTCTTAATTGCAATCTCAATCCCAATCTCAATTCCTTATTTTTAATGCTTTGTACCAAACGAGACCTAAAGGATTTTTCTCCCCCAACAAGTGTACGTTTTTAAATTAAATTTGTGTTTTTTTTCCTTTTTACAGGAATAAGACGGCTACCACTCAAAAACAGGGTATATGGTTTATTTTAGATAGAATTACAATAAAGTCTCGAAGAAAAAAATAATAACTAAAAAGTCTCAATAACAACCTAAGCTTATAATGATAAGTTCCAGAATAGAAAATGCTAACTTTTGAGACTTGTTTTGTAATCATTTTTTTTTAGAAACTCATTATACTTTTCTCATTGTTTTAAAAACATCTAAATGATGTGAATTACTATTTTTCGGGTCCTTAATATAAGATCTTATTTTATTTTTATTTTGATCTTAAATATAAGACCTCAATTTACTTTATTTTTTATATTTATCCATTTTTTTGAGATAGTCTTTCTAGCCCAATAAACTTGATTAGCAAGAATATTTTAAAAAATACAATACCTATTTATTATAAATAATTAAATTAAATTATTTTCTTAATCTACTCAAATTATTTAACTAACTTTTATATTAAAATATGAAACTATGCCAATTACAGATTTATTCAATTACGAATGAGAGGTCTCCTGGCTGGGGAGAAAGAAAAAGAAAAGAAAGGAAAAGAAAAAAGAAAAAAGGGAAAAAAACAAAGAAAAGAAGCGTACCGGGTGGGAGAATCTGAGTTGATACTCACTGGAAGTTGATCTATGCTACGTGATACAGACATGCGAATCCTCTCCTCGTCTTCTTTTTCTCTTAATTTTCTCCTATCTCTTCTCTACCATTGGATTACCAGATGAGCGGTTGAGATATTTTGTTTTTTCCTTTTTAAAAAACGACATTGAAATTTGAAAAGCCCAAATTTAATCTTCTTCCCCTTCCGTTAAAACGACTTTAAAATTTGAATGACCCAAATTTCGTCTCTTTAGTTTCCCCCTTCTGTTTCTGCTACTGCCAAAGCCTAGTTTCTGGTTCGCTGCCATTTTATCGATTTTCAGTAGTTAAGTGCCCGTTGCATGGGCATCACACCTAAGTATTCTTCTTCCTCCACCGCCAACGACGGAGCAACCATCGCTGCCCCCGCCTCCCTCCCACCCCCATACTCTCTCTGGTCCTCCCGATCCGCATCGTAAACTTCAAAACCCCTGGTGTTCTGGTTTTTCTCATCTTCCATTGTGGAAAATTCAATGTGAGTCACTAAACTTATCTAGGAATTTGTTTTTTTTTTTCCATATTCAATACGAATTCTCTGCGCTTATAATGCTTTGCCTGCATTTAAATTGACAATGTGATTGAGTACATTCGTTTTTTTATATAATTTTCCTCTCAATGTAATACAAATTTCACTCTTTATTCTTGTCAGTCTAGTGAACATAGAGGATTTGAATTGCTTCTAATTTTGGGTTTAACTTTCGTTTCTGTATATCGGGTTTCTGAGCACTTCATCTCGGAATTCAACCGGCTTATTAACCGTTAGATTTAAGTGTCGAAAGAGGAGTTACGATGAAAAGCATTTTTTAAAATCAATTTACAACTCATTCTCAACACCGTTAGATTAGCATCTAATCGCTAACTTATTTCAATTGAGGGATCCAAATCCCTTTATCTTTTGATGTGCAGGCGTTGTTTGAACTTTCTTGATTGTAAGAAAGAAAATATGAACACCATAAAGTGCTTTCACTTTAGTTCATCCAGGGAGGCCTATACTACATCGATTTGAGATTATTTGGTCTTAATTTATGTAGGCCAGAAGTTTTACCATGTTCTCATTAGACATGCCCTTGGACCCCAAAAATTTGCACACATGGTTTATATGACACGTTTCCTAGCCGCTATAGGTTATCCAGGAGACTTTGTTCATAAGGTATCAAATGTCAAAAGCTGTATTGTTGAAATGTTCGTCGTACATTTGTGGAGATATCTTGCAAAGTTTTGTTTATTAGTTACATGGAATTACATGGAACTAGTAGGTTCCTACCTTTTGCGATTCTGCTGTAATTGCCCCTAATATTCTTGTCTTCTTATTGCAGTGTTGCTGTTTTGTTTTGTGTGTTTCTGAAATCCGATTAATGGCGTTGGGATTATCTTCAGTGAGCGTCTTCAAAAGCGACTGCAATCACCCAATTGTATCACGCACAAGTAGCATAACAAATTATCGTCTCTGCGATTCCATCTCTGTAGCAAACCATCACTGTTTTCTCTCTTTGATTCGGGTACCAGTTATATGCGCTAGAAAGACTGGAAGGCGAGGGGGCTCTCATTCATCAAAAAAATTGATGCTTGAGCTAGCGTCCATGGTTGCATTGAATCTCAATATCTTACCGCAACCCTTAAATTCTCTTATCGGAGAATTTGCCCAAAGAGATGGAAAAGGGATTTTATCCGAACTCCAAAGAGTTCTTAGAGGGGGAGTTTTGAATGGATGGAGAAGGAAGAAACAATCGAGTGGAAAACAATCGTGGTTTATTTTATTATTAGTCTGTGGTACTCTGATGTGTTGGAAATTTATGGAGCTAGACATGTTTCTGATGGTCTCATGTTTTAGCCTTGTCGGACTTTCTATTATTCAGCTATGGCGAAGGAAAGCATTCAAGGAATGGATTTTAGGCTTTCTCTTTGGAATTGTTTTACTGAGTTGTAAAATAGGGAAAGAGGAGATGAAATTTGTGGTTGAAAGGCTGAAGATTCGTTCTTCAGTTGCACAAATTGTAGCAAAACATAGAAATAGAACCAAAAGAAAGTGGGGGAAAGCTTGGTAAAGCACTGAAGCTATGGTATATTTCCTTGTACATTTCATTTTGCAGTTAACATCTGCAGGCCATCATTGATTTTGTTTGTCCAAGGGATTGCGTCCAGGGTTGGTCTGTGAGGTTTTGCTTCAAAGAAGGAACTAGGAAGTTCAATCATCAGCGATAGCAAGAAAGAAAGCATCAGTAAGAAGGAAGGAATCATGTTTGTCCAACAATGAATTTGAGGTTTCTATGGTCTCTTCTTGCCAATATGCTTTTCGAGATTTTGAATTTTTGGGCTTGGACTTCTTGTTTTTTTATTGCCAACCCTGCACCTTTTGTGCTTCTGTAGAGATTCGGTTTATATAGTAATACGAGTTGGAGTTGTTTCCTGCCCCCAAAAAAATCAACAAATTATTTGCGGCATTCAAACATCACTGGCATTTATCTATATTAATAAATTTCTTATGGTTTATCAGTGTTTTTAAAAAAACTCTTACGGTTTATTAGAGCGAATACTACGTTAGATTCTTTTTGTTATTTCGGTGAAATGTCTATTGCATAGATTGTCTTGTGATATGCCGATGACAGGGGTTTGAGGGGATTGGAAGGGAGGGGGGATTTAATAGGTTCAATTTTGGAAAAAAAGAAAAAAAGGGTATTGGAGTTGCACAATTTTCAGGAAGAGATGCAAGAGATAAAAAAGCAAGAAAAATTAATTAAAAAATTTTCAGCCTCACTGTTCCATTTTCCTGTTTGAAAAATGAACTTATTAAAATCTTCTTTATACTCCGCCTCCCTTACATAATTCCCCCCAAACCAAACACATCATAAAAACTAATCGAAGCTGAATATTAAGTAAACATGGAAAGCAGTCTTTCGGAAGTACAAAGTATAACGTACAAGGCACCTAAAAACTTTTTTTAATTGAAAAAAATTAGTTCACATCAGTGACCAAATAGTCTACAGAGAAATTATTTTATCCGATAAAGACATCTTAAAGAGAATGAGTAACTTTAGAATGTTATTAGGATTAGCTTCTCCTCAAAATGAAATCTCCCTTGCTAATCCACAGAGAGCCATTACATAATATGCCAGATTATCATATTCGTGTGTGTGTGTGTGTGTGTGACGGCTAGGCTTAGTTTTCATTAGCCTTCTCCCTTCCGCGATTAATCCACCAATTGATCATCCTCTAGAGACGCATTTTATGTGATTAGACTTATTTCTTTGCATTGAAAAAAGTTGTCATTTGTTTCCCCTCATGATTTATCCATCGTGGTTGTTTTTTGGGCACAAATGCCCAAATTAAAGTGTGGATCACATGGTTGTTTATCAATGTCTACATTTGTAATAGATATGTAATGTTAAACCACAATTATTTCTCGGGAACAAATTCATTATTTGGTCAATACGTATAGATGATTGTGCCATCCAAGTAACTTGTGCTTGGATGACTGACACATTAAATCCCTCAAGTTGATAGATTAAATTGGGTTCAAGCTTCACTTGGAAATCCTTGAGTATGATCAAACTAACTCAACTCAACCTATTTTTGTTAGTGAATTGGGATTTTTTTTTTTTTAATGCGAACTAGAAACAATACTTTCACAACCCCAGACCAAAAAGTACCACTTCAATACAAAGCCCGCAAAAGAAACGAATTGAGCAAGTTAACCCATATAACTCACATTTTTAATATAAAAAAAAAATCTCATATCATAAAATGCCCTCCAACTTAATACATCGACCACTTTTTGTTGAGCGAAAAGTTAAGGCATCAACCATAAACAATGAAATTTTCTACTTGGAACCGCTTACAGTGCTCGGGCGTTAACACGTACTTCCTAAAATTTTTGTTAGAATGGTAAAATAATTTCACTTTTTTTTAACTCCGTACTTCTTGCATTATATGAAATTCCAACACTCAAAATAACACATTCACGAATCTTATGACCACCATTACAGTTTAATTACATTAGAACAAATAGAACACGAATTAATATCTCGGTTTATTTCTGAAAACCTACATGTAACTTGGTTCCCCCCCCCCCCCCAACCCAAAACCACAACGTGAGTTAATCGATGTTTTTTCATTTTCTTGCTCAGATACTTCAGAAGCATCAAAACAGATTGCAGGGTGCACCTTCACAATTAGCCAAAAAAAAGAGAGAACCATTATAAGCTGACATCAAACAGATTCTTACTAAACCACTAGAGCTTAAGGGCACTACACAAAACACTACCCTGAGCAACCACTTGAGCTAAGTTTGGTGGATACTTCCACAGTCTAACGCACTAAAAGGTTAAAAAAACAAAATCAAGATTCTTGAAATTCATGGTCAAACAAACAATGAAGTTGGAGTTCACCCGGAGAAGCACGATCACTAACATTTTGCACTTGGCTGCATCAAAGTTTAGCTATGCAGAGAAGTAGCATTTTTGAGCTTTTGTCTGATTTCACCAACGAACTTATTAAGACAAAAGCTGAAAATGTGCTCTTATTGATGAACTTGAAGCTCCCTGCGTTTGTATCGGACCATCACTTTTCCTTTCACACCAACAACCATGGCATTCCAGTCAATCTCAGGAAAAGGTGACACTAATTCCAGCTCAAAATTCCTCAGCAAATGACTCCAAATTGCCTTAATCTGCAAATACGCAAAGGGCTCTCCGAGGCATCCATGCCTGCCGCCTCCAAATGAGATGTAAGAGAAGGCCCCGGCCACCTTGTCCTCTTCCCTTCCTGGGGCAAATCTATCAGGATCATACCTATCAGGATCCTTAAAAACATGGGGTAAGCGATTTGCAAAAGCAGGGGAGGTAGCAACTATATGACCCTTTGGAATATCATACTCTTTCCCTTCTCGTGTTTTGACACTAAAATCGCTGTGTGAGCTTCGCATCAGCATGATTAGAGGAGGGTGGAGCCTCAAGGCTTCTTTAATGCACCGATACAGGACGTCCATTTCGGCCAAGATATCATGATCAACCCTGTCACCATACTTGCCCATTATTTCCTTCTGCTCCTCCAATACAGCAGAAAGATACTGCTTCTGACACAGGAGATATGCCCCTGTCCAAGTGGATGTAATTGAGCTGGTGTGCTGTCCCGCAAAAAGTGCAGCAATGAGCAATCCAGTTACTTCAGCTTCTGTTGTTGGGCGACCATCTTTGTACTTCGAATCAATGAAGCACTGCAGCATGTCATTCTCTGATACACCCTTGGATTTGCGGGATGCTATGATGCTGGTAAAGATTTCAGCGAGCCTCTTGCGAGCTCGATCACGACGCTTATGAGCTGGGATGGGCAGGTATGGAAAGAGGACACTGATAGGTTGCATTCCATTATCTAGGTCATGGAACAAAGCAGAAACGTCATCAAACAGCTTATCACGAACTTCCCGGCCCAGGAGACATCTGCTAGCTGTCAGGATGATCAGATGTTCTAACTCATACTTCAAGTCCACCTCACCACTAGGTCCCCACTTAGAAAAGTAGTCCTGCAAATTAAGTTCACATTTTAGATAGGACGGTCCTGAATGTCAAATTAGTGCATAGATGAAGAAATAACAAGAGGCAGAGGAAGGAAACAACTATGAACAATACTTCAAACAGTCACTTCTATTCAAATTTCCCACAGAACATAAATGATAACAATAAAGTCCACAGTTTTCTGCCATATCAAAAATAGGTCGAAAGTTGGAAGTTGAAACATAAAAATATCAAATCCCAAAGAAAGTCAACAGCTCTTCGAAGACTTAAACATAACAACAATTTGGGAACAAAAGAAAGATGCAGTAATCTGTGCCATAAACAGATCACCTTATTCAACATGAACTGAATATAATATGAGGTTCGAACTTGAAACTTTCAACAGACTATCCAATTATTTCATAAAACCTAGCATCTTCATGATCTCAGGTGATGATCATCTACTGCATTAATTGTATGAACCCTCACCTTGTGAGCTTCTCAAAGACTTAAGTATACAATGGGAGCCAAGAAAAAACAAAAAGGATCCAGTAAATCTGCACCATAAGCAGGTCATCTTATGTGTTATGCACTGATATGAGGTTTGAGGTCTATCAAGCTTAGCAGCTTTATGATCTCAGGTCTTGATAATCAGTTACAACATCCAATTCTATGGACTCAAACCACGTGGCTCCGAATTTTGGGGTGAAAATACCTGTATCCTAAAATGACATGTTGCACCAAGAATGACAGAAGAAGCAAAATGACCATGTTCAGTCATCAAACGGATTATAAGGAAACATTTTCTAAAGTGATAATCATAACTTTGACTGAGAAGTTAAACTCAAATTTCAACTTAAGCCAATAGGAAAAATTAACAACATAAAGAAGCATAGGAATGCCAGGTTTTATATTCTGAAAATAAGCATGTCAAGTCGATCCTCAACAGCTTCTCAAATCAGAACAGCGGGAACGTAGGAAACATGCAACAATATGCAATATAACCAGCTCACTGTCACAGCGTTGCTTGTGGTTAACACAAGGGTACCAAATCGCAAGGCAAAGACACGTGAAATGACATGGACGTGCTGGCGCATCAAACTTCAAAAGATGCAAAGGATGATATAACAGAACATATAATATATAGATTTAGAAATTTTGAATAGTGATATACTTCTGGATAAAGACACAATCAGCATCATCCTATATCTCAAGTACCCTACACTGTTATTTCAGACTTAAATAATAAGTTGTTCATCTATCACAGTCAATCTATTCATCTTTAATTCAAACAACCAGAAAAGCACTATAATTATAACATCACGGAGGATTCACCGGTCTTTTATTTATTTATTTTTTTTAGGGGCCAGCCATGTCCGAGTTCGGTCCAAGCCCAAATGAATCTGACTCTGTCACATCTCAGACGAGTGTTGTTACTAATTTAAGTGCATCGACTACGATTGAATTGAAACAATCTGCAATTTACGCAACTGCCAAACCTCACCAATCGGCTTCCTAAATATTGGGCTCTGATGGTTTACACCCACACAATTGCATATACAAAGCAAGCAAAACAATGAAACCAATTTCAGTAGTTTTATAAGAAGCACGTTTTACCTCAGCTTCCATGACCATCTGATCTACATAGCTCTTGAGTTTATTCACTCTCAGAGCCTCAGTGAAGAAGCGGAACTGCTCCTGTCTAATGGAGTAATCAACATCAAACACCACTCCAGGCCCAAACGTAGGAACATTGAACTGATACACCTCCTGCTGGCTAAGATCAGACTCTGAAGCTTTAAAGAAGTGAGCAGACACCTCAGGTCCAATGAAGAACGTTACATTCTTATGAAACAGCCTCAACGTGAACACACTCCCAACCTTAGGATACTCCTCGCGCAGCATCACGATCGGTCCCTTCAAAAATCGGAACAAGCCACCGACCAGTGGCCATGATTTCACCACAGGAGGAAGACGCTTCCTCGATTTTGGAACTATGAAAGCAGAAACCAGCTTGGCCACAACAATCGTGGCCACTATAAGAAGACCAGTGTTCAGAAACTTGCTATCCAACTCCATGAGAAACAGATTCCTATATATTCCCTGAGAATGAAAAGGCAATGGAAGAATCAGAAGAAGAAACTAGATTAAAAGAAACAAAACCAAATCAATGAATCTACCATACATACAGATCTGAGAGAGGGAGAGTGTGTGTGTGAGAGTGAGCGCATTAAGCAAATTAATCATTAAACGAATCTTATATAACCTTGGAGATTAGAACGTGACACGATCAACTTGTGCGATTCAAAGATTCCCAGAAATGTTGAGTAGGATTGCTTAGCTGTTAGTCACCATGGTCCAGATCTAGGTCTCCAATTCTGGGTTCTGCTAAGAGCAAAACTGTGGGTTCTTGTTGAGCTTGTTTAGCAGTCGCTTTGTGCGATGCAGTGTCGTTTATCACACACTTCACGGGACGGGAGAACATTCCAAGGAGTGTGGTGTAGATGTGTGTGGAGAAATGAGTCAAACGACAAAAACAATAAATAAACAATAAATTTAAAAAATGCTTTCGGCCGGGCCCTTTCACGCGAGCTAGTCATTGCCAAATGTCACCCTAACCCAGCGGTCTCTACCCCGCACCAGTCCTTTGGCCAGAAAAAATCCAAGTTATTTAATTATTAGTTAAATTTAAATAATTAAATTAGTTAAATTTAAATAACTATAATTTAAAAAAAAATTATGGCCCATGAAGAGGGAATAAAATAATTAAATTAGTTAAAGCTAAAGTTAAATCACTATGCTATTTTGTCTGGTTGGTGGGAATATTTACTGTTTATATATGGGATTCCCTTTGATACATTTTAGGTGGTGGCCATCCAAAATTATTAAATATTTAACAGTAGTTTATTTAATTCCAAATAGTAATTTGCATTTCTCCCGTTTTTGGTAGAGTATTAGATTTACAATGTTTTTTTTTTTGCCAGCGTTAGATTTATAATGTGACACAATCATATTTATGGTCAAATGTATCATTTTTCCCTATCACTAGTATATAATGAACAAAAAATAAAAGTTAATTGATATTTTTAAAATACCTTAATTTATTTTAAAATTTTAACATCAAAATAAAAAATATATTGATATTTTTACTCCATAATCTTTATCGTAATTTACTTATTTTTTAAAATAATAAGAAATACTAAAAAATAAGTATTCTTCTATCTTCTTTTTTTCCCCACAACATATATATATGTTAAATGTATTAATAACCAACCAAACACAAATATTTAAAAAAAATGACATTTTTAGCAAAGTAGGGAAGATAATTAAGAGCAATATGTGGCTTTTAAATTATAATGTGGGGAATTGCAAATTTGTTATAGTTATTAATTTTAACAAATTAAGAGACTATGAGAGTTTTTGCGTGCATGTGCGTTTTCTCTTTTAAAACAGAAGTAATATTTCCTCGTATTTCCTTAAATTAAGAGACTATCATTGGCACATACCATATTCAACCCATTTGGGTCACTGATTGGTAGCTCAGAAGTAGCTTATTTCACCATAAGTTCATTTGGAAAATTGGAGTTCGTTTGGGAGAGCTTTTGAAACATCTTACTTGGGGACCAAAAGCTAGATTAAAACGCACAATATGTTAAGTGAATTTGAGATAGTTTTTTGAAGTGAAAATTGTGCTTATGGTTGATAGACCGTTAGAATAATAATTAGATGTTATCTTAGTTTTCTCTCACTCCTCCCTTATTATTCTCTCATATTCACTCAAACCACTCATTCCTCATATGCTCAAAAGTGTCACCGCTGTACAAAGCTTGCTTCGTCGCCTCCTCCTCCTTAGCTCCGTCGTCTCGTGTTTGGTCATCTCTTCTCCAAACCTTTTGCCTTGTCCGATATGCAATTGTCGTCTCCAAGCCTTGGTCACCACCATCTGACTGGTGCATGTGAGTTGTGTGTGGAGATCTTAGCCTCCTAGTAGAATACACTCTCTGATCTATCTCTATTAGCCTTCATTCTCGCCAATCTGGTACAGGTCGGTGGAATTTCTTTTTTCTCTTGCTTTTTTAGTGGAATCGCTGAAGTGTCTGTCTATTAATTTGTGTTTTCACCTGTTTATTTGTTGATTTGGTGAATGGTTTTGGTCTATCATTGGTGGTTGACCAAGTGGTTAGTAAGCTTGTGTGTTAATCTCCCCTGTTTGTGTGTCAACCAATGAAACCAAACCTTTTGTGTTTGTTGTTGGTGGTTGATCAAGTGGTTCATAAGCTTGTGTGTTAATCTGTTACTCATTTGCCATTGTACTTCTGCCCTCTTCATTTTGATCACTAGCGAAGAATTGATTATGAATTGTAAATTATCAATAGAATTTATTTTTTTGCCAACTTCAATTGTAATTGAAATGTGGCCCAATCCAACCCATCTATAATGGCCCACCAAGGATTGAGAAAAAGAATGTGATCCATCCTACTCTTTGATGGATTAGGATTTTATCAACCCAACCTATCATGGATCTACAAAGTTAGTTGGTTTTACAATATGGGTTCTTTTCATTTCAAAAAGGCAAATAATTCTTACAAATAAAAAAAAGGCAAATAATTAATAAATTTTAAAAGAACAATGTCGAATTTGCTACAATTAAATTATAAACTTTAATTGAGTAGCGATACACAAAAATCGATATAAATAAGGGAAAGTTATTATGAGGTTTTTAAAAAAGAATATAAATTACTAAAAAATTTCAATAATAAGCGAATAATATGAGTTTTTGCCACTTTCTTTATCAAAAATTGTCATTGCATCTTATTCACTTATTAAGAGATTTTTTTTAATAATTATATATATTTTTAGATTTCATAGTGATGCTCCCTACAAACTATACCCAGGATGCTTTCTTCTGTAAATTTCAAATAAAGTGATTATTGTAAATATAATATGACATGGTTGTAAATCCAAATAGCTAAAAGGGACTCCTGCAAATCGTTGATTGTTCTAGATTTTTTTTAACTCCCTCCATTCCCTTTTTTTAAAAGATGTTTTTTTCTATTTATAATACTCTGTTTAAAATTTTTAATGTTATTTTTAATTTTTACTCCTATTAATTATTAGTTACTCTCATTGTATTAATCATTCCCTCTTTTACCCACTCACTCCTTCACTTTATATATAAAAATATTTATGAAAAATAAATTATTATTTTTTTACATATTTTTAACCAATTTTAAATATAACTTTTAATCCACATAATTTTATTATTTGTATTCTGCAAAAAAAATAATTGCCGGGAATATTAACTGAGGTCAAGGCTAAACACGAACTTCCAATACTAATCCGATCGACATGAGGAGAGGTGAACAATATACTGCAAGTCTAGGACGCTGAAAGCCATCTTCATGATTAATTGCTTAATTCTTTTTGACCATAATGATTAATTAGTTGACTGAACAAAAAAGAATGATTAATTAATTAATTAGTTATGGGATTTATCTTATTTTAATAAAAAAATTGTTTTGTACCAAAATTTTTTAAAAGAAAAACAGTTACTGGGAGCTTTCTGTTTTGGATTCAGTTTGCGCCCCCAATTACTATCACTATTCTTCAAGTAACCAACCCACCAATCAGGCAATCACCATCCCGTTAAACTTCCTTCCCTTTCTCATCGATCCAACCCAACTATCCATCTTCAATAAAGTTACATTTACGATCTCTTCCTTCTTATCTGTATATTCTGTAGAAATGGGTTCCAAGGAAATTCCCCACAAGCGTCCAGATTTCTACCAAAACGTCGTCGTCATGAGGCACGGTGACCGTATCGATAACTTCGATCCTCACTGGGTAACCACGGCAGCTCGGCCTTGGGATCCGCCCCTGACCCATGATGGACGGGTTCGGGCTTTCAATACGGGTCGGAAGTTCCGCCACTGTCTCGGGTATCCAATCGATCGCGTCTTCGTCTCCCCCTTCCTTCGCTGCATCCAGACGGCATCTGAGGTCATTTCTGCTCTCTGCGTCCCCCACGACGATCCCACTATCCTCACCGGCGATGGCTTAGCTATCGATTCTTCTAAAGTCAAGGTTATGTTTTCTTTGGAAAATTAGTTTTTTGGTTAAATTGTATTAGAGGTTGGTTGTTAATAATTGGTCCACGCATTTAACTTTTGGAAGGTGACAAACATGTAACTCATCAAGTCAAGTCGTCATGTCCTCTCTCTCCCTCACATCTGTTTTTTAAATTATAGAAGGATAAAAATAGAATGGCATTCTAGATTCTTGCATACAGGATTTAAACGGTTTTTCTTCCTACTATGATTTAAAGGAGTTTTTTTTTTGTCATCGATTTAAAGGATTTATACTTAATTCTCTACCTAAAGTAATTTATGAGTTTAATCAACTTTGCAAAGTCAATGGAATCAATTTAACTGTGCTTGGAATGCATTAATAACATTTTCTCTTATTATTATGGGTTCCAGAAGTCATAATATCATCATTCCGTCAAAAAATTTGAGGGAATGCTACTGTTTAACAAAACCGATATAAAGTTCCAAAATTGCCCCAATGAATTCCTGCACTTGTTATATTTTGTGAAAAACAGTTCTGTCTTTTTCCATTTGTTCATATCCAATCCTCTTCCGTTTTTATTATACAAAACATCATTAAAATAAATGTTCACCTCCGATTTTCATGCATACTGAACCCTATCTTTTTATACTCCTTTTCATTCCATGCCCTTAAAAATCTTTTGAAGACACCAAACATAACCTTGAAGTTTCAGGAAAGGCATTTAATATACGTTCATATTAGAATAGTTCTTTTTTGCTAGTGGCTAGCTAGGTGAAATCTTCCTTACAGTTAATTGACTCATTAAGCAAAGAAAAGATAAAATACTTGCTTGATGTCTTGTTATGTGGTGTTGTTTATATTGTGTTCAACGATCTATGTCAGTGTTAATACTTCTTTGCTTATCTTAGAAAATGCTGCAAAAGTAACGTGTCTCCATTGCCATTAGATGTGGCAATAAACAGATATATCCTTTGGTCCTTTTCTTGTGACTTTGTGAAGGAATCTTCTCTCTGAGTACTGAAATAGGATTTACGACTATAAGCATTTCTGAACATGCTTACAGAAGCACCAGTAACAAAAAGTAATGGCTTTTGCTAGAACAGTGTTCTGGGGATTTTACCATGCTTAAAATCTAACTCTTGGGTTATAAGATAAGCCGAAGTTATTTGCCAAGGAAATTTCAGAAATAGTCTGAGTTTTCTGAAATTTGAGAGCAAACACGTCGGAAATATCATGAACTTAAACTACAGTAGAGACACTGCGAGTTTGTTGGCTTATGGGTATTATCATGATCTTTCTTAGTCATTTGTTGTTGAAGGTTTTCCTTTTGTCTCGCATATGTTAAAAGTAATTTACACATTATCTGTTGGGACTTAAGCTATGCTATATTCTGATTTA